ACTGATCACATGAGAACAGAGCTTCTTCGAGGCTTTGTTCTTTTCATACTTAAGAGTTATTGATTTAGTTGAAATAAGCTTTGTTGCCTGATCCTCTCAAGAGAAAACAATACAAAACATATATACATCTTTATCTTTATCACTCCCCAAAAGGTTTGGATGTTTTCCTTTGGTTTTCTATGGAAGGTGCTCAAACTCCTTCAACAAAGCAGTTTAAAAAGCACCAGAAACATGAGGCGCATTCCTCAAGTGTATGAGTCTTACACTTGTTCCACATGGATGCTTCACAGCTTCCTTGTAATTTCCAGCAAATGCTGCAGAATATTTCCCTTAGGTATTACACATCAAACAGCACTTCCTCCTATGAATCATACCGTTCAGAGAAATTTCCACACCAGGAGAAACTTTTGTAAAATGATTTGTGTGTTGTACTTGGTGAAGAATTATCATAAGGAGAACCCAGTGGGAATAGTTTCCAGAAGGTTAGGTCTGTTGGTGTGTTGAAGGAAATATAATGGAGGCTCTGCTGATATCTAAATGCTAGCAAAATTGTTATAGCCAATGTGTCATGGAATGCTATAAAATGTATTTGTGTTTAAAGTGAACAGGTTATATGTGTGTGTGTTTGGCACAAAATATCAACATAGCTACTTGTTTTGAAATTATTACAATGGAAATACCCAATTTAGCTACATGTCATGGAAACCCATCCTCAGCTACATATGGGAATGGATTCTATATAGTTGTTGTTTTCATTGGTGAGAAAATATATATGTCTATATTTGGCGGTTGGAGGTACCCAATAAATTGAGCAGCTCAGGAATGAATGAAATGGTCATTATAATGGAAAGCAACATAAATCTAGCAGATACCTTTTTTAGTCTTAAGAGCAGCTGATGGGATTCTGTAGATGAAAATATAGCTCCATTTAAAATGTTCCTGTCCTGAGCTACAAGAACTGTAACCTTTTGCTCTGGATAAAATATTATACATAACGTTGAATAATTAAATATATTGTATAATATTCCAACCAAAAAAAAGCAAGACACAACCTCTTCCCCCCCCCCCCAGATTGCACCATATATTAATCATTATGCCTTCCAAAAGGTCATCATGAACATAGGGAGCAGAGTGTTCAAGCATTCTGGACACAAGTCCAAAAACAAGTCTTTAAAATCCAGACTTCTCTGTGGGCTTCATCCAAAAACACAGTGCAAAGGGTGACCTGAAGCAACTTGGTCCCTGAGTTATTCTTCTCACTACAATTTAAACAAATTAGAGTAAAAGCATTGGCCCAAGAAACATCCTGACTCATCAGACTTAAAGAACAGGCTGCAACACTTAATCATGTAATTGTTCCTGGCATCTCCTCTACACAGTGACTATGCATTTAAAAATAATTCAGACTATAGTACGTAATATGGAGCTGAGTGAAGCATCCTGCACAAAATTAATAATTTGATAACCTCTCCCCTCCCCCATCTTTGCGTTTAGAAGACATGGAGGAATGAACAATTTCACAGGCTGTTCATTGGCTATGTAAGACTTTGGCTGGTTGCCTAATAGTCAACATGGAGTCTTTTCTTTTTAGATGCTCACTCCATTCCGTACAGCAGGGGAGGTTCCATAAGAACATACGTTCAAGCCATGTGTTGAGTGTTAATGAGGGGAGAACCATTAAAAGAGTGGAGGGGGGTGACCGTTGGTGTCAGTCATTGGCAGATAACATAGTGCTTCCCAGTCTTTGGATCCAAGGTGTTGTTGCATTTCAGCTGCCAGAAGTTCCAGCCAACATGGCCAAGAGTGGGAGATTTATGGACCTATAGCCGAACAGCACCTGGAGACCCAAGTTTGAGAAGCACTAAGATAGCAGGTGCAGGTTTCAAGGAGCTGGAATTGAATTTTGTTTTTCAGGACCTCGGAGAGCTCCCAGGGAACGCCAAGGGTTGCTTTTTTTTTGCTCAAGTGGACACCTAAATGGCCAAGCAGTCCTGTTGAGTTCTCAGTCTTTACACTATCTCATTTTCTAAGTATTTTCTACACTGAACTAGCACATAACACATGCAAACACAAAAATCTCACAGATAAGACTGAATATAAAAAGTGAAAATCCAAGGAGGAAAAGCCCCACACATATACATAAGTACCACACCTGGAGCCAGGATTTTAGCTGTAGTGATTCATTGAGTATTCAGATCCATTGGGAAATGCAGGCTTTCTTTCTTTCTTTCTTTCTTTCTTTCTTTCTTTCTTTCTTTCTTTCTTTCTTTCTTTCTTTCTTTCTTTCTTTCTTTCTTTTCTTTCTTTCTTTCTTCCTTCCTTCCTTCCTTCCTTCCTTCCTTCCTTCCTTCCTTCCTTCCTTCCTTCCTCCCTCCCTCCCTCCCTCTTTCTTTTCTTTTTTGCTGTTATATTCATACTGTATGTGACATTGTGTGTTTGCATGCATGGGGGGGCTGAGGACAACTTCATGAAGCACATTAAATTTTATCAGATTAGCAACAAACAAGCAAAAATTTAATGCAGCAATAAAACACTTGTTTGAACCAGCAATAAAGCCAGCAGTTAAATGAGCAACATGAGAACTAAACCTTCCATTTAAAAAGTGTAGGTGGAAAACCTGGAATTAATACAATGTCAAGAGCAAAAAAAGGGGAACTTTTTTGGGCATAGTCCAAAAACAAAAACAAAAAATAGAAAAACAAATTTCCCATCTTTGATCTTTCCCTCCCACAACATTTCCATGCTAATTTTCAGATGTTTCTACCTAGCTGAAAGGTCCCATATATTTTCAGTCTCTATACACATCTAGAAATATTTAGAACACAGAACAGAATTCAGAGAAAGGGTCAAAGTACAGCACTCAGGGATCAAAAACTAACCGCTGCATGCAAATCAGAGATCAAAGATGAAGTCTTGTTTATTGTAGTTCACATTCATTAAACACAGAGAAAAAGAAAGCTTAGCACCAACAAGAAGATGAAGATAAGAAGAGGACAAATCTGGAAGGAGAGTATCAGAAGCACAAAGCAAACTGAAAAAAGAGCACTATTTGCTATGGGCATTTGTTTATGTATCAGAAATGCAACTTGACAAATAAATAGAACTAGCACTTGCTAAGTCATTATAAGCTGTCTGACAGATGTGATGTTCTTATAGACTGCACAGCTGTCTGAATGAGGGGACAATTTCCCTTGAAATGTTGGGATGAGGTGCTCTGTCTGCCCAGTTCAAGAGCCACTAATGGAATTGTGGTGCCAGAGGGCCTCTTTTAGGCCATGTAGCCCAGCTTCTTGCTGCATGAAAATCCAGAGCCCACTTGAGTATCATTGCTGCCCTAAGTATGTTCATCAATAATGGCTTGGCTTAAAGCAATATTCCCCAACCTGGTGTCTTCCATATCATTGCCTGGAGAGTCACTTCATCCCAGTGAATATAATAGCATCTATTACAGGCTATGAATTATATGATCTTTCAAAGGTCACTTATTCATAGGATCATGATAAGTTAAAAACTACTTGATAGCATATAAGGAACACAACACAAAAATATCAGGTTTTTGCATACACAGAGTGTTCGAGTTCCAGTCTCTGATATTATATGGGAAGTTTGGTTGTACCTTTATAGTTAGAAGAGTATGAGGTAGAAAAAACAGCACAGAAAAAAAATGTGGAAAGATAAACTCCCTCTGATCACCTGCCCCCCTCAGTTTCTCTTTCACACAAACTAGCTGTTTGCATGCTAAAATCACTCTAGAAAGATTTAAACTAAAAAAGGCCATCTTTACTTACAGTTACCAATTGTATTTACAGTCAGAAGAACAAAAAGGGGGAAATAGAGTTTCCACTATTTGTTTGGTTGGAGGTAAGGTGATGAGACTGAGGCCATCAACCACAAAAGTAATGGAAACGAGCAAACAGACAGCAAGAGGGGAGACATGTGGGCTTTCCTCAAATGTCAGAGGCAGGAGAAGAAATTTACCAACCACGTTTGTGGCAAAGGGCAGTCATATTAAGCTGTAAAAACCCCTCCCACTGACCTCAGTGTTAGTGCATACATGATTGCTATCATCCCAACAGGCATCTCCAGGTACAAAAGATCAAGTAACAGGTATCAGGAATGATCTGTGATCAGCAGCTGCCTGAGCAGACAACACTGCTCTGGATGGGGAAACAATCCCAGATGCTGAGAGGTAGCTTCCTGCTGATGGGTTGCTTTTGGGTTGCTGCTGAGTTGATGGGAGGAGTTGGAAATTACGTCTTCGTCTTCCCACCATCAGCAACAGGGTTTCTCCCCCAAAAGAAGTTACCTGCCAGCTGCTTTTGTGGGTGGCTGCTAGAAGAAGCCGGGAGGGGGGGGGAGAGAAATGGGTTCTCTTTAATCTCCGCAAACTAATGAAAGCGGGGTGGGGGGTGGGAACCTTTCAGGGAAACTGGCCCCCTCTTTGGCAAGAGGGGTAAGTATCCCCTGCTCCCCTTCTAAGCCCCGGGGAAGAGAGGATGCTTGCTCCCCGTCAATCAACCCCCTACACACACACTGGGGTGGGAAGGGGCGCCGGCGCCCGATGCCAGCTGACAGGGTGGCAGGCGCTCGGTTACCCCCGGCGCGGGATCTCGGTGG